CTTAAATCCAATTTTTCTTCTTTCAACTTTGAAGTTATTTTTTTAGAATTTAGATGGTTCGTTATTAGAATATTATAAATTTTATTTTTAGATTCATTAACCTTAATAAAAGATTCACTTCAACCACATTAGTTTTAACTCTAATCATGCTCCACTTACCAAAATAAAAATATGTTTTTAGATTATTTGCATAAATAATAAACATATATTATCTACACACACAATTATAAGTTTATTTTTACTTTAAAGTAACAATGTCTTATATAAATTTGATGGTATGTAGTCATTTTCATAGATCCAATTTCTTTTTAATAAAACATTATAGCTTGGAATTACATCAACAATGAAAAATATTGTATTTATGATCAATGAATCAACCTTTAAGCTAGTAGCAATCATTTCTTTCACTTGCAAGATCTCACCGGCAAATCCACTTAATACAACTTTAGTTAAAATTAAATTATTCATCATCCAACATGCATAAATGTAAGATATTAATAACAACTTTATTATTAACAAAAACTCTTCCAACGTCTACTTCTTCAACCTTTGCATGAAGATATAATGGCTTCAAGTGTACATGTTTGGTGATATTAGGCATTTCAAACAAAAAAATTATTATTCAAAATTTGTTTATGGGCTATTGATTCCTTTGAATTAGTCTAGAACTTATCATTTCATTTAAATTTGTTAATTATAGAGGTTGTATTTGCTCATTATTAGACTTTATAACCCCTCTCATTACTTTTCCTCTCACAAATCTTTTGAAATTAGCATATTTTTCTATGGTATGACTAATAGTTAAATGTTATTTATACAACCTTTTTTATATCTTGGAATTTGTTATTCATAACCAACTTTAAAACTTAATTTACTACTAGTAAGTCAAATCATTTATTTATTGTGATGGTTGTAGAAGTAAACTCCTTAGAAAGAAACATTATTACCATTAACAATAATAATCATATTTATAAATAATGCATTTATTAAAGAAAAAAATATTTTTATAAACTCTCATTTGCCCCTTTTTTATTTGGAAATCTAATATGTTTTGCTTCACCAAATCTTTAATCACATTTCTAAATATCACATGATTTTTAGTTGAGTGACTAATTATTTCATGTCATTTTCCATTAAACTTGCCTCTTAACTCTTTATCAATTATTATATTATATTTTCCTTCTAATTTAATTCTTTTATTGCCTAGCAACCAATCAAAAATATCATCAGCTTAATTTATATAAAAAAAATAATGTATTTTCTTGTTTGATTTTGAAGACTTTAAAGCTTTGGTATTTTTTTAGTCAGTACTTCACAATTTATAGGTTTTCTTAATACAAATTCTACTATATCTTATATCCATTGTTTCCTGGCAATAGATCTTATAAATTAAGATTTTCCTTTTCTTTGTTTTTTTAACAAGTTTTTATATCTTGAAGCTATTACTTCTAATTTGTATATGTTTTTAAATTTCATTTCTTTAATTTTCTTTCTTGGCTTTAAATTTCAAATCTTATTGGGCAATTATTATAAATTCATTCACTAAAATTTTAGCCCAACATTTCCCCCTAGCTTTCATAAATATATCTATGTATTGTTTTATATTCTCTAGTGTATTGTGTTAAGTTCACTAAATTAGCTCAAACAAACCATGGTTTTGTTCTAAACAAAATAAGCTTGGAATATGGAATATAGTTTGCATTTCATTCCAATTATAAACTGAATTTGATGGCAAGTAACATTTCCGGTTAATGAATTTGAAAATGATCTAACTTTAATAAATCATAATCAACTACTTCCTTGCATTAATAAATAAATCTCACAATACATTCTATTTCAACTATTGTTTCTTGACCACCAAATAATGTAAAGTTTGGAAACTTAAAGTTATTAAGGTAAGGATATATTCTATCAATATATTCTGAATAGGAACTTCTATTTATTGACCTATAAATTTTTTAAATCTTTAGTAAGTAAATTTCATTACTCTTATAATATATTCTAGATCAACTCTAATTTGGAAACCATTCATTTTTTCTAAGCCATTTGGGATTTACTTTTTCACTTATATCCTCCTGTGATGAATCTTAAAATTAATAATTTTGGTCTTTGAACTACTTTAAACTTCCTTTATTGCTAAAGGCTTTCATTGATTTACTCTTAGTTTAAATGAAGGGTTATTTTTTATAGTGTATTGTTTTAGTCATCTTGATTCTTTTTCATTTTGTTTAAAATTAGTTTTTCTAAAGTTTGATTCCTTTTCTATTTTTTCATCTAAATAACTTCTTATTTCCACTGCCACTTGTTTAAAGATTCTATTTATGGTTTCCATCATGATATGATTAAAGTAAAAAATTACTTCATCATTTTCCATTTTTATTTTGGCATCTAATCTTGAATTTACATCCTTTATAATTTTGACTAAATCTTTTAGGATTCTTTCTCTAAATTTTGTAATTTTCCTACTTTATGCTCTAAACTTTTCTAAACATTTTGTTTTTTTTTTTGTTTTTTGACATTTGATTCTAAAATAGCATAAGATGATCTCTCATTCATTATCATAATCTCATTATAATGGTCATCAATCATTTCATTTTAAGTCTATGTTTTTCTTCAATCTCTTCATAAATTAACTTATACTTTTCTTCATGTATTTTATTAGTTGCTTCTAACCTAAGTTCAAAGATTATGTATCTCTCTTTTGCACTCATGAATCTTTATTTTTTTTTCTTTTTTACCCTTATTCCTTGAAGAATTGATTTTTAATTTTCTTATCCAATAAAGACATCTAACACTCCTCCATTTCTTTAAGTTTTCTAGTACTTTTGATATTTTATGTTCTATAATTGCAAAGAAACAAATATAACACTCTAATTATGGTCATCAACTATTTCAGGTTTGTTTGTGTGTCTATCTCAACTAAAAAAACTTTAAATTTTAAAATTAAGTATTACATCTTAATCACTCAATGAAAGTATTAAAGATAACTAAAATTCAAGAATAAAGAAGTTTATTGGAAATAGAACTTACAAGCATAAAGTTGTTCCTTAGCACAACCATATGATGAAGATTCTTAACAGAACATATATTTTTAGTTCTTTTTCGATTTTCTTAAATATGAAAGCTACTGCCTATAGGTTATAAGCTTACAATTACAAGCTTACTGGTTATAAACCTACTGAATGTGTCAACCTATAAAGTTATCAACTTACTTGATGGATAGGTTTTGAAAACCTACTAAACTTAGTTGAATTGCAGAGTTATTAATTTATATGCTCTTTTAAATAAAGAATTTAAAGGTAACTATCACTAAACTTTTATTCCATTCTTTATCATTTTTTATTTTAAGGATCACGTATCATATAGATGTTTTTTACTATTTAATTACTAATGTTGATCCATTCTTTGATTTTAGAATTTTGTAGCATATAGACTCTTTCTACGTTCTAGGATTTCATCTCTTCTTTAGTTAGTTTTGTATATAACACTATTTTGATCTTAAATGAGAGAAATAAATCACTAAATAATTGTTCATGTTCAAGGTTATTGAAGACAAATGACATTTATATCTCTTAAACTAATTAAATTCCCAATGGTTTTTCTTTTTATAAGATAGTTATAACTAATAAATTCTTTTTTTTCATTAATGTTACTAGCTAATGAATACATGATAAATGAGTTTTGAAATTATACTCGAGACATGATCAAAGCACGATACTCACCTCAATTTTATTTTATTTTTGTGGTTGTTGGTTACTATGGTTGTTATATGGAGCATCCTCTAGCCCAATCTATTCTCTTAGAAAGTAAAATGCTAAAAATATAACACATGATTGGATTGATAACAATGCAAAGAAATATAATAGAAGCTTTTAAGGGATATTTGAAAGTGTGATTATTGTTATTTTTCAAAGTGTTTTTTAATATCAATATATTAAAATAATTTAAAAATATTAAAAAATATTAATTTAATGAAAAAAATAATTTTTTTTTAAAAATATTTTTGAGACATAAAAATAAATATTACATTAGAATTTGAGCATTTAGTAGATTCAAAGGTAAATATCACTCCTTTTTTCACTTTTGTTGTTTATTTGCCCAGTTTGAATTACATTGTCGGGGCTATTGCGGGGGCTCTTGAGTTTTGATTATGGTAATGTTATTAAACCTCAACATGGAGATTTATTAACTCACTATGTTGGGTGGTCTTAAATTGAGAGTAAAAATTAATGCATATAAAATTTATTTAACCTGATAAATGACATGACTCAGTTAAAATTCAATTTTATTTAAAAAAATCTTAAATGATTTTTTTAAAAAAAATCTTTCATTTTGAATTTATCTAATCAAGTTACATTACACGCTCAACAAGTAATCTAAGCCCTGTACAAATTAATGAACAGTTCAGATTTAATAACTTTGGATTGTGCCGGTGAGAAGTCCAAGTAAGCGTAGCATTAAACACAAAGCAATAAACGTAATACGGTGGAATACCGTGGAAGGAGTGCTCGTACTCATAGCACGATACCACAGGGTATATGGATACAATTTCAAGATTATCCTTGAAACATTGACCTAAATAAAAAACATTTCAAATTGTTTATTCATCTATTATTTCATTTGTGGCGTGACGTGCCTTGTTTTAAAAGCATGGAAGCACAGATATTATTTCTTCGTGGATTATTGATTTTATTTTTTTAATTTTATCCTATTAAATCTTAAAACACATTCCAAGACTAAATAGATAAAATTTTAGGGTAGAAAAAAATAATGCACGCGCCTTTTATCTTAAACTTAATAAAAAGACATGCTTGAAAATAACAAAAACATGTTAATTTCTGTTCTATAACATTTCATTAATTTTGATTAAAATCTAATTTCATCATTTTAGTTTTACAATACTTGTAACATTAATTTTTACCAAATACATATTAAAAACAAAAACTACAGTCACAACAACAATAAAAATAATAGCTACCGTCACAGCAAAACCAACACCATTACCAAACTAAGCCTAAGAGAAGATAGTAGCAGTTCCGTGCATTGAGCTCATAGTGCACAAAGAATCACTGAGTTCTTGGGCACTGAATTCGATTTGTGTGGAAATCTAGGGAATTTAATTTCTGGCTATCCCATTCAGGCACAGATTTTACACAGATATATTGTACATTCTACAAGTAAAAAAGAAGATTATTTTGAGCTACGTAGGTATCAGTGCTAATATCTGATTCTTAATTATTCCCATGAATTTCTGTATCTCTGCATAAACAGGAAGGTTAACTGAACAACACGGCTTCAAACTCGTAACGGCAGAATCCAGTACCTGGGCAACATGACTCGGTGGAAATTGTCGTTCTGTACATTTCTGCAATTTGTTTGCTCAAGACAATTAGGGATTGTTCTCAACAGTCGATGGAAAAGATAAAATATTTTGAACGGAAAAAGCAAAGTATATTGCATGTCTTGGTGCTTACCTGAATCATTAGTAAAGTAGCTACACAGTGTGAAATAAGTTCTGAAGGGATTTGTACTTCATTTTCGTTGGACAAATTGTTCCACTTTGCATCAGGTGCATGGTTGATTGCCCCTGGATTTCCAACACAGGAACTTAATTGATCCTGAGAAGCCGGAGTGTCTTGAACTGAACCTTCAGGGACAGGAGATCTGATGGCTGGCACACTTGAATCATCTGCTAAAAGTTTATTATTTACAAAATCTATAGCATCCTCAATACTCTCAATGCAGCTTCCTTCCTTCTTTAAGGATGACATTGCCTGAAATAGTTACGGTCAGAAAAAGGCAGTATAAACATTTTACCACAGTGCGCTCACCATCAAAGGTTGTGCTAATAGCCCTAATTTTTCTTCAAGACAATGGAGAGGATAGAGTTCTGACAATATGGTCCACTTACACAGAGAAGTTCAAATGGTAGAAGATTAATATTGGTCTATAAAATAGCAAAATTTGCTGACAGTTGCAGAAGAATTGCTTCTTATACCTGCATAGCTGCATCAACCATTGTCTGGGCTTTTGTTCTTGAACTTTCAACAATTTCCACCACATGAGATCCAGATTCCTGAGTATCATCTGCAGAAGAATCAAAGGAGCTGCCATGACAAGCTGGCTCGTCTATATTGGGTATGGACTTTGACAGCACATGTGGGATATTCCCTTGATATGTGTTACGTTGCCTCAAGAAAAAGAGAGCAGAAGAAACCTTCATGAAGAAGTAATCAAATCAGAAATTGGTGCTGGTGCATGATAAAGGGAAATAATTGAATCTGAAAATTGTCCATGGATTGCTCATACCTGCTCATTGACTTCATTTAACTGTAGAAGTACTGCAGCGTAGTGCTTCTTAAAAGCTTCTGAATCCTTGAGAGAGTTTTCTCCACGTTTTTGGCTTTCCAACACCTCATCATTCATGTGCTTCAACTCAGACACCACAGCCTCCTGCACATTTAAATATCCATCAGCTTCTTTTTCAAACCAGTGTCACCAGAATCATCCAAAAGGTTTCCAGTTAATTAACAAAAGCAAATACCATGTGAAACATAATTAATAAAATTTCTACATTAAGCATTAAGTGATGCAAAGCTAGTTTAAATAGCACTCAAAGTAAATAAACAATGAAGTTATTATACAAATAATGGTACATAACACTAAATGTGAAGCTGAGAGCACATAAATATAAGAGATCATCACAGGTGACGCCTCCTTGCTTGAGAAAACCTGTGGAACATATCAAAGTGGAAACATCCCAAGTCTAAGCATAGTTAGCCATAACAAATATAACCTTTTTGTCAAGAGCTCGAGTTAATTCAGAAAGAGCATGGATATCAGCTTCCTTTGCTTGGATCTGTGCACAAAACAAAGGCTGGGCATTTGTTGCTTGCTGGGTATTAACAGTTTCACCTCCATTGTTGACTTGTGTATTAGAACCTCCCAAACCTCCCTGGTAAAGGCAATTTCTTCTTAGATCAATGAATAATGATAAAATACTTACATGAAATGCTTAGCAACATGAATGCAACTGGGATGCTGTGGAGTTGTTCATAAGCTGATATAGCAAAACTTCAATAAAGTCCGGTCCAGTTAAAAATTCAATGGTGACTATTTAGCTCATCCATTACCAAAAGAAGATTGAGTGAGATGGTAAAAATTTGTACTTTGAGAACTAAGGTCATTAATATACTTGAAACATAAAATCTCCCTACAAAGTGCTATTAGATTGTAAATGTGTTTTGGCATCTGACACAAATACCGTTAGAGAATCCATCTGAGGGTTAAACATTTAAACCCCAAAGCATAAGTTAATGGGTGAATAGAATTATCAACATAACCCCACACCAATTACTCTTAGGCAAGTACTCAGGAATTTGACAGAGAAAAGCGAGAGGTGGCTAGTCTCAGTAAAGAATTGCACCCTTCATGAATTATAGAGCCAATGAAAAACCACAGTGCAGTCTAAATTGAAAAAGATCCTCTTCATTTTTCAGCATGAAAAAAAAAATTAATTGCTTAGCACATTTAAAATTTCAGAAGACTTCAAAATTGACAAAATGTGATAAGCACACGATTGAACTTAAAGTCCAAGGACTTCTCACCATTGGCTGCTGTAATAAAACACTACAGTGATAAGTCGACAGGGAAGCGTGTGGAAGAGCACTGTGATCCTCCAGGTTCTCACATGGAGAAAATTGGAATCCTTCCATCTTCTTCTCTGCTGGTTGCCCACTGATTTTGAGCTCATTTAAGTTCTTCATGTATCTATTCAATACAATATTGTGCCCTATCATAGATGCAGGCATGTTTTCTGATGGATTTGAAGGCATGCAATCAACATCCTGCAGTAAAAAAGGCATCACATCAAGGTACTTGAAACGAAGAGCAATATACCATCATGAAAGAAAAACAGGATAAATATGCTGCTTAAACTGGACTATTAGCTCTAAGAAAAAAGTGAAGATAAGGGATACAAGATATTTGCAGCATGTTCTAAAGTCAAATATTTTTTGTTTGAGACAGAAGCAGAAAGGAAATTTGCTCCATTTGTTTGAGACAGAAGCAGAAAGGAAAGTTGCTACATTTGCTGGTCTAATATTCTCTAGGAGAAACACCTACTTACTGGAACAATTTTATGCATCCAGAATACACATAACCACCTTCATATTCAGGTATCTAAGTCACTGTCATGTTGTATAATAGGCTGTCGGATAGAAGTGTTTAAAACTTAAATGCGGTCTGTGCTGTTCACTGGTGATGGTGAGTTCACTGCTTGCAAACTAAGATACAGTGGAAGAAAACAGTTTTTAGTGTTCATTTGGCTTGCCTAATTTTTATGTATTTTTCAATTAGTTTCTTTAGTTTATGAATTGTAAGAAAGAAAGAAGAGCTTTTAACTTTGGTAAAATAGATTCAACATCCTTAGTTTGCATACTATCATGGCTAGTTGTTTATATTTAAATCGTATTCACCATAACTGCATACTATCAAGGTTAGTTATTTATATTTAAATCATATTCACCATAACTGCAAGACAAACTCAACCATAATATAGATCACCAGGTGTAAATTCAACAAACTATAAAGTCCAAGCATGTAGAAAGTCAATCATCAAATGAAAATGTCTTAATTTCATAAAACAATTCAATAAAGACAAATGACTTACCATGACAAATTCAACCCCTAGTTCGGGTCGGTCAAACTGAACATGACACCGACTATGATCAACAGTTAATATACTTCCATCCTGAATCTCACTTGTCCTTGGATGAAGCGCAATAATGCGTTGACCGACTGATAGAGGTCGAGCTAAATCAGTTGGTAGTCCTTCCCTAGTACCAGTTCGAAGTTCAGCATAGTGTTCTCTAACAGATTCCCGATAATGGTTAAGCTTCTCTTTCTCTTCCTTCAAAAATTGCTCTGAAAATCTTCGTGGTTTACCAAGGGAACTGCATTGATGAGATGGTGCAAATCAAATTCTCTAGCTAAGACTTCAAGGATATGCCAAAGAAAAGTATTGAATGCAAGCACAGAGATAAAATTGGAAGCCACAGACCTCCGAATGACACCCCATTCAACACGAGTTAGTCTTGGGATATGACCCAATCGAACATGCTCCAGGTATTCAACAAACTCCCTTTTAGAAAACCATGGATAATCTATTGCACTGTAGAACCACTCAAAAACACACCATCTCCGCACTAGATACCGGGAAAGGCAATTAGAAAGCTTTCCCTGCAATTATTGAATATACTTATGACAAAGATAACCACAGGTTCAGCAAAATTTTATGGAAATGTAAGAAATTGGCACATATCTAACCTTGAGACCAAGTACTCTATCTTGGAATGAAGGAATGAGAGTATTAGATTGGCTATTTACAATATTCTCTGAAGACTTGGAATCTCTCTCAACCAACATCTTTGGAGTGTTTAGTTTACGGCTACTCCTCACTTTAGTAGGCAAGTTGAATTGGCTGGCAGATAAAACCTGTATGGTAGTTCGAGCAGAATTATTCAATTCTCTTCCATGATTATTACTTGAAGAAGTACGTTCTGCAGGTTTCATCAATTTCCCTTGTTTTGAGTGTGCAGCATACTGAGAGCGTTTTCCCTTACTCATAAAGTTGTTATCATCTGTTGTAACCTATAATCAAGCACAGAGATATAAGAGTAACACCACCAAATAGAGATGAATGATATTTGTAATCCAAATACATGAAAAAGAAAGAAAGAGAAAAGTGCTGCCCTTACAACTTAAAAGTTTCCAAAAAGATACTACAAGATGCATTATAAACATATGATTGCTTTGAGATACAGCATGAATATAACAAAAACTATAGGGAGATTATAAACAACCAAGAACCAGCATCCACTTTTCCAGCTACCCATTGCAAAAAATGAGAGCCCAGATAAAGAGCAGAAAATTAATCATCAACAACCACTATCAGAAGATTTTTCGAAAAGCTGATGATTATCTAATCCAATGGATTTCTTACACCTCATAAAAGTAGGTTAGCAAGTAAGAAGATAAGCATGTAAAATGCAATTCTCGGTCCTCTCCTTGTTCCACAGATAGTTTCAGTAGGACCTAACAGAGTAAAGGTCCCTAAGTTGAGACACACATGCTGTGCCTCCACTTACTGAAACAACAGGACTATAAATAACAAAGTGGCAGCAGTAACAGTTATAACAATATTGTCAATAAGAATAATCCAAATAATTATAGTACAATTGTAATAATATATGTTATGATAGAAGTTCAGAACTGAGTGCAGGTAACAGATTCATATATTGCAAAATACACATCCTCTACATATAGGCTGAGCTTTGTGGCAAGAACAATATGTTAGACACTAAAACAGGTGCCAAATGCATAATGTTATTTCCAAAAGATTGTAATCTATAGAATGAAGCTTTGAAATAACTGAAAGATTTGCTGATTAAGATGGAAAGGAACTACACACCTCAACCTTTTGAGATTCACCTAGATAAGAATCAGCGTGCTCTTCATTTTCTGAAATCTGCAATAAGAAGCTTGCAGACTGGTCAGAATAAACTCATAAAGTATGAGAATCTAGCCAGGAAAGAAAGACAAGAAAAATGGCATCAGCTATGGTTACATAAATCCTTACTTTAGATGGCAAGTGTTTTTGTCTCCTTTTCCGCATCACAGGACCAAACTGATGGGCTGCATCTTTTTCTTCTGGAATAGAAGAAGCATTATCAGTGAAAACCTTTCCCTGTTTGGTTGTCTTGAAGGAGATAGGTTTTACACCAGAAGAAGAAGGATTCCCTTTCAGTTTAGACTTGGCAACAATTCCGGTCTTTTCTTCCTCAACATACACAGAAGATCCTGAAGGACACAAAAAAAAAATTAGATTAAGAATTCCACAACAGAAATACAACATAGAATGTAATCCTGTACACTCAACAAGGAAAATAAAGAAAGATTTCATAGAGCTTAAGAATTGTAAGAATATCTGTTTTTGTTAATACCGTCAAGGAGATTATTCATTACATGTGGTATAACACTCCCTCTCTCACATTCATGAGGAGCCAAATGAGTAACTACAAGAGGATCCCACATGAATGCGAGAGAAGAAATTGGCAAGTTTGAATGGTTGACTTCTAATGAGTAAAAGATTTAATATCCATGATCATGAAAACCATGTTCATATGGTTGCCAGCCTTGCATTTACTAATTCTAGCAAGGAAGAAAGGAAAAAAGGAAATCCATAGAAAATTAAATATCTAAGTGAAATAGCATTGTTAAAATTACCAAAAAGTTGTGTCTGAAGATTGTTCATTTGTTTCTGATGAATAAAACATCATAAATCATTAAAAAAAAAAAGTACCCCTAAAAGACATTTGTACATTTGAACAAAAACGTAGAAATCAATGGCAAACGTGTTTAATTTCTGATTGTGCCATTAGCTGCTGTGTCAGCATACAAGCTTATATATCAGTGGAAATACTGGCTTTATTATAGGTCCGCATTGGGTATCTAATGCAGGAGTAAGCCAGTACTTTATCCTGACATTAGATGACAAATCAATGTTGTTCGTGAAAGTGTTGTGACTATTGTTATGAGATTATACAAAAACATCACCCATAAATTTTCACAGCAATATGACAACTAATATCATTCTGGGCAATTAAAGTTGTAACTCGACAACAGGGATAAGATCATCCAATTAAATTCCTTGTCCTTGTTCATAATAACTTCAACAAAATAGCATTAGCTATCCTTCAATATATCAGTATGTAATAATTTGCTGTAGCGACATCAAACTAACTTCAAAATGCATCCAAGTTTAATGGGTAATGAAGAATATACACCTTAAAAAAAATTAGAAAATAAAAGAAGCGGCCCAGGAAGAAGAGGGGGCAACTGTTTCACAGTCAGGCTTCACATGAAAACACTAAAATAGTTTATGCAGAACATAATTGTATCCTACCAGTGTCAACAGGTGTTTCTGGCAACCTCAAGGACAAATCAGCCAGTGCTTCTAAGGCATCGAAGTCAGCATCTTCAACTACACAGAGAAAAAACAAGAAAAATGATGTCAGATATAACAAGATTCAACAGAGAGAGTGGTAATTCAACATTGAAGCTCAATCAAAGTAGAAAAAGAAAAAGAAAATATTTAAGCAATGGCCTAGAATAGAGACAGGGTGACCACCACCCCACCCCACCCCCCCCAAAAAAAAAGAAAAAAAAAGATTCTTTCATATAACTCTTTTCAAGGATTTCCACTGTTTAATATTTATACCCCATTAAGTCAGTATCACATCCAATTAGAGTGGGGTATTATACAAGTAACAAGGAAAAATGAAATGGCAGTGCAGAACATCTCATTGACTTCTATAGAAAAGCAATTAAAGCCTGAGATTTTTTCTTCCCCCTATTTTTCTGCAGTGGATGGATGCAACATTCACTTCTTTTTTTTTTTCCAGTAGTAATTGATGCAAAACTTAGTTGGCCAAAGACAGTTATAGTTAGAAGCAATCACAATCTTCTACAGATATCTGCTAAAGTAAACCAGAAAATTCCATGATTAAAATAGAATCATACTTAAGCAGATGGTCAAAAGTTTCTTAAAGCATGCAAGATTTGAGACTGTATGCCTTGAGATTCATTATCAGCTTAAGACATGATATTGCTTTCAACAAGAGAGAACACAAAATGATAAATTTAGCAAGTTCCATCTTTCTTTGGTACCATCTCTGGCTTGAATCCGTATCATATTACAGCCAAAAGGAGTGCTTAGATGCATTTCCAATAGAAATATTAAAACTATACTTCAGGAAAAATGTGATTACAAACAACAACGAGAATATGTTATTGCAGATTAAAATCTTCCAAATAATAATAGCAAAAGACTACAAAAAGTCATGCAACTGATGTTAATGGAAACTAATGAATAAACAGCTAATTTGCACAGCCATGAGATATTCCAAAGAAAGGAAAGACTGAAAACTGCCAGAAAGGCCACTTTCAAGCAAATTAAAGGATTCCTAGACATGAAAGAGTGAGAGAAGAACAGATAGAGGACAGGGGAACTTGCTTTAGATGAAATCACTGCCATACCTTCTCCAAACAGAACCTTCTTACTTCTTTTTCTTGAACCCTTGGAGGACCTCACAAGTTTTGTATCTGCAACCTCCATTTCAAATAATTCTTTGACAGCATCCAGTTTCTGCCCTTCCTCTGTCCCACTGCAAGCTTCTCTCACATCATCCAAATTATCGTCTAAATCTTCTGCTGGTGGCCTCCTTCCATAGTATCTCTTCCCCTTCCAAAAGCTTTCATCTTTTACATAATCTACAACATCAGCTTCTGTGCTGCCTAAACTTAATTCACAACCCACCTCTTCCATTTCACTACCACGAAGCTTGGCACTCATCATCTCTGCTTCAGCATGCTGAACCTCAATTGATTAATAAGCAAATTTTATAACAATCAGAAGAAATAATAGAGGCCACCAAATAAATGAAATACCATTTGTTCATCATGCTGAGCATGCGAGGGCATCTTTGTTTTTCTTTTTGGAGTTTGAGACACTTGGGGAGAACCGCCTCTTTGTGAAGCCTCAGTCAAGGCCAATGCTATCTCATGAGCAACATCATCATCAACAGCATCAGCCTTTACTTTCAAACCTTGCTGAATTGGGGAAAAATACTTCTCCTCACTGTATTTATCAAAGGAATATGTAACAGGGACACGAGGAGTCCTCTTCCCAACAGCCCAGGGCTTGCTTCCTAAGAGAAATCCAAGAAATGGAGAATCCTAAATAACACTTTCATAATGGAAGGTTTTTCTCCTTGCATGTGTGTGTGTCTCGGGAAGAAGCAGTGTATGAGCAAGCACACAAGAGAATAAACCAAAATGCATAGAAAAGAAACACGTAAAATATCCACCAATTTCAAGCATGAAAAAAATAAAAATACAATTTCATAAGCATCACCCCAGAAAAAGAAAAGAAAGAGCAGTGTATACATAAATGGTAATCTACTACTATATGCATGCATGCATACAAAGGCATGAGGCCTGCAGGGAGGATTTTTTTGTACCAGTCCGTCTCTTCTTTAACATTGACAAGCAGCCATAATTTGATGCAGGCTGGGATTGTAGAAGATCTGGAACTGGTGGTGCATCAGATCCTTTGGTTACCCGCGCATGCTTCTGAGATTTTTGAGAGGTTCCTGTGCCCCCATTGCTTTCTATCTCACTTTCACTCTCTCCCTGTCCATGAGCATCAGAGTTCAAATCATGATAGATAAAAATAGCACATGTAGAAAAAAAATTTACCTCATTGAACAGTCACCAATACCCAAAGGAAAAAATTAAAAGCATCCTTAGTATGAATCAGCTAAATTATATGGTTGAGATTAAATAAATCCTCCCTTACTACCTTGACCTCTATTAAACTCATTATTTTACATTTATTGTCTAACCATCAATAATTTGCCTCACTTAACTAGTGGTACTAGCTTATTTTGGCCAAGCGATGGACCAGTGAGAAGAATCAGAACATTTAAAGAAACAGACAGAGGAGCAGAATCACTGTCATGTTATAAAGCTCATGAATTGCAACAAGCTAGATAGCGGAGGAGCAGAATCACTGTCGTGTTATAAAGCTCGTGAATTGCAACAACCTAGACAGGCTTCCAATCACCAATTTAGCTCTCCCAAAACTTAGGGTAGAATCAGCAACCAATTTTGAGCAATACTAAAAAACACTCTAGAATTAATATCCATAGGGAGTTCTACAAAAACCTTCCCAGTCTTACCAGATTAGAGTAGTGATCAGTCATCATTGCAATTAGCCCAGCAGCAGAAGCAAAGCCCTTTGGAAGAGATAAGTAAGCCTGAAAAAACAGAACATTTATATGACCAACTTCGACAAACAAAAGCCATGCATAATAACTACCTCTCCATTCAGTCACATAACATGCAGAAAATTATTTTATAAAAAGGTTAAAAAATATCACATCAATGTAACAAGATGAAATTCATCAGACAAAACTCCTACTGTAAAAAGGTAGAAGGTTTTCAAATCAAGATCAAATAATTGTCCGGTATTTAATTCAACACTTACTTTATTCATAGTATAAAGGGCTTCTACCATTTCCACAGATCGGTTCCGCACCGCAGATGCTACCTATAACCCCATGAGAAAGAAAAAAAAAAGAAGAAAAAAAGAACATGGTAAGGTGATAATGCAGTGATCAATATCAACAAAAGTCACCTTGTTCCGAAACACAATACTTCAAATCACCTCCCATAAAACTTACTTAAAACCTCGAGTAAATTTCTTTCCATATCATACAAACCAAACAAAGAAAAAATCTAAATCAACACCACCATGTTTAACTCTTGCAACCTAAATCTAGTAAAAAGAACAAAAGGCAAAACAAAGTTGAGGAACAGTTGACAGGAAGGTACTGCTACGCGCTAACTAACCTTCTCCCAATCCTTTCCATGTTTCCGATACGCCTTATAGAACCTTTCTAGCTCTTCCTTTCCCCATTGTGGCCCTAACATTTCAGATAACTTCCTCTTCTGCACGTAAATTAAATTAAATAAATAACTCCATGCTCAGGAATCCAAATCAAGCACGTTAATTTATAACATCACTTAATTAACTAATCTATTAACAAGATAATCCACTAACAAAAACACCATAATAACAGCAATAATTCAAATCCTCTAAAATATAAACAAAAAGAAAATGAAAAATCGAGAAAATGACCCGCGGCTTGCTTTTGTTAGTAATAACTGCTGCATTTTTTGTAGATGTGACTTCATTAACGTTTGAATACCGCTTATTTACACTTCTCTTTCTGGACGGGGCCATCAGTGACTCCTACAGTTCCTTCAATTACCTAAAAACAGAGAGTCCGACTCGCGATTCTCAATTTCGCTTCCGATTTTAGAGAAATTGCAGAGGAGAATTTAGAGAGAGAGGTTGAAATTTGGCGAAATTAAGTGAAGGAGAGAGTGAAATTTGATGAACTGACCGATTCGATGGTGAGTTCATCGTAATGTGATTGTTGACTCAGTGAAGAGAGAGAACGAGGAGCGGAAATCGATCGATCAAGCGGCAGCCAAGAAGCGATTTGGAGACGACGAAGAAGATTTTTCAATGGTGGTATTGTGGTGGTGGAGGTGATAATTGGGAGATGGAGAAATCGGGGGTTATAACCGCGAAACTTTAAAAAATAAACATACTCTTTTCAGTTTTTACTAATAATTTTTTTAGATTTTTGCTTTGTGTTTTTTTTTTCACTTTTAATAATTGGTAATAAAAACTATATATTATACATATTAAATATATAACATGTTATTTAAAACGACAATAAAAAATGTTAAGTATGTTATTGTTTTGGATCAACAACAGTTTAATTTACTTGGGGCATATTATAAAATAATAAGTTTAAAAATAATAATCCTACTACAGGGTAGTCCGTAGTATGTTAAAATAGTAAGTTTATATATTAAAAAAATATAAATTTTAACCTTATCACTTGAAAGTTTTTAATATAATTGATATAAAATTATGATGTGTATTATTTAACTAAATATTTTTAAATATATAATTAAAGCTAAATATAATCCATATTATATTGCATTATAAAAACAAAGTATAATGAAAATAAAAATATATTTGTCATAGCCAAAAGATTAATGTTTTTTTTAAGTATAGGAGTGTCGAAGTAATAAATAATCCAGTAAGACTAGAATTGAACAATAAAGAAGTTAATTATATAATAATAATAATAATAAGTTAAATAGGACTTTGAAATATAATATTAATGTTAAAATTAAACAATGATAAAAACAAACGTCAAGGTTAGAGGATCTATTAATAGTATTTCAAATAAGTATATTATAAACTCTTTTTATTACTCAACTATAAACCACATACAAATGAGGTTCCGATCGGATGATTTGTCATTAATAACTCATTATAAATTATTAACATGATCATATTAATTATTTTATTTAAGTAACAACAAACTTTTAAATATTGTCAAGAATTCATAATATCAACTTATGTTAACAACAAATCAAGTTTCTTTCATAGCACATGTGTAGGTTATATCATATGGTTGGCTATAAAAGTGTCAAGCATTTGTTGTACCAAGTGTTATACAACACAAATCTAGATTAATCATTTAACAAGCAATGTATTAAGAATTAATAAGATAAAAATGATAAGACATGTTAATAGCAAGTTGTCTAAGATATAAACATTAGAATCCATATTGAGTTTATATTATACTTATCATAAAACCATTAGTGAAACCTTTACACCTTAACATATTAAACTTATTTAAACATAATGAAGAAGAGAAGTATAAATAAACAACATAAGAACATAAGTATAATAAAGAAAATGAAAAGCATAAATAAGAAAAAAATAACATGAAATAAAACTTGAATATTATAAAAATATAAAAAAAGAAATAAAGAGCATGATCTTGATCTGAAAACCAAGATGTCTAAATGCATTGCAAATGCTTTATCTTATAGGTCAAGATTTGAAACTATTGATTTGTTGATTAATTGTTGAGTGGGTAGCTATATCTTGACTTTGTGACAATCTTTATCTTTTTATCTGAACAAAATATCATTACTAACATCAAAATTTGAACAGATTGTCTTTATAAAAGTTTTAGAAAATTGTCTCAGCATTCCAACAACAAAAAAAATCAGTGCATATAGACTTCTAGAATTCAAAATATGGGTTGAATACTGAAAAATATTTGGACAGCAGGACAGATTCAGACTTCTCCATTGTTACTACAATTTGAATTTGAAAACAGTCTTTTTGAATCCTGGATTTTCATGAAAGTTTTAGACTTATGTCTTAGCTTTTCATCCATGCAGAGCATACCTAAATCAAAGTTTTACAGCTCCAGTTATGATCCAATAACCGAATGATGTTCTAGTTTGGACTAAACCAACATCTCTTTCTAATATTAGCCCTCCTTTTATCTTCTCAATTTCAGTAGTTAAACTCATCAATCAATTCATTGATTTATATGATAGGCCTACATTTAAGATGAATATTTACTATAAATTAAAGGTATCTTATATTATTAGATATGTTATTATAAAACATGCTCTAACTAAGGAGTTATTGATACTTCAAGTGCAAAATAATAATATAAAACCTTGATAAAATGCACTTTTAAGTGCTAATCACACTTCCTAATCAACTTATTATTAGTTCCTAGTAATCAAAGCGTTAAAATAGAAAAATAATTTGCAAGTTTCACAGAGCAAGACATTCATCATTCAACTTCCATTAATCTATCCAAATAAACAAACTCTTAATAAATTTATATATGATTAGTACTTAAAAGTGCATTTTTATTATGGTTTTATATCATCATTTTGCACTTGAAGTATCAATAACTCCTTAACTAAAGCATGTTTTATAATAATATATCTAAAAATATAAGATACCTTTAATTTGTGGTAAATATTCATTTTAAATGCAGGCCTATCACATAAATGAAAGGATTGATTGATGACTTGAAGAACTTAAATTGCAAGGATAAAGAGATGGCCAAACTTAGAAAAGAGATGTCGGTGCAATCCAAACCGGAACACTGTTCGGTAATTGGGTCATATCTAGAGCTATATATCTCAGATTTAGGTCCAATTTATATGGATGGAAAGGTAAGACATAGGCCTACAACTTTCATATGGAGCCCAAGATCTAAAAAGGCCATTATCAAGTCCAAATTATAGCAACAACAAAGAAGCCCGAATCTGTCTTCCAGCCCGAGCACTGTTCGGTATTTTGGCCATATCTGGAGTTCTAGAAGTCCAAATGAGCTGAAGTTTTTACACAAGAAAGCTGAGACAATTGCCTACAACTTTCATGTTTACAACTGGCTCCAATTTTGACGTTATCAATGACGTTTTGGGCAGACAAGAGAAGATAAGGATTGTCACCAAGTCAAAAGTTGGTCACCCACTTATCAATTAGTCATCAAATCAATAGTTCCCATTTTTGGCCTATAAAAGGAGGCATTTGCCATGCATTTAGGCATCTTGGTGTTCAGATCAAGATCATGCTCTTCCTTTCTCTCTTTGTATTTTTTATGCTTTGTTTTCATTAATATTAAGTTTATGCCTTTCATTTCCTTTCCTTTACTTAGTTAACTTTTATGTTCTTATTTTGTTTATCTATTTTGCTTTCTTTCATTATGTCTAGCTAAGTTAATTATGTCAAGGTGAAAAGGTTACACTAATGGTGTAAGAATAAGTATAATGTAAACTTAATATGGACTTTAATGTTTGATACTAACATGTTTTATATTTGCTATCTTGTTCACTCTTTAATACTTTGCTTGTTAAATGACTAATCTTGATTTATGTTGTATAACACTTGGTACAACAAATGCTTGGCACTTTCATAGCCCATAATGTATGGTATAACCGACACCTGAGCTATGAAAGGAACTTGATTTGTTGTTAACATAAGTTATAATCATGAATGCTTGACGAGATTTACAAGTATTAGCATTAATTGAATAAGATGACTAATGTAATCATGTTAACAATATATAATCTGATTGGAACCTCCTTTGTGTGTGGTTTCCAATTCAATAATAAGAGTTTATACTATACTTGTTTGATATACCATTAGTGGAACCTCTAACCTTGACATTTGTTATTATCATTGTTTAATCGTTACATTAATATTCCATCTCAAAGTTCTCATCATCTTCTTCTTCTTCTCTTTCTTTATTATTATTATTATTACTACTACTACTACTACTACTACTACTACTACTACTACTACTACTACTACTACTACTACTACTACTACTACTACTACTACTACTACTACTACTACTACTACTACTACTACTACTACTACTACTACTACTACTACTACTACTACTACTACTACTACTACTACTACTACTACTACTACTACTA